TTGAAAAAAGTAACGAAGTACCTTTTTTCACCTCTAGTTGGCACATGTTTAAGGTAATGTCATATATTTCATAATATCATATTACAAAATTAAAATAATTCAACCAATATTGAATTATATATATATAAATAATTCAATAGTCTACTTATATAACATGCTTCAATTTCATATAATATTGAACACATCAATATTTAGCATATTACCATATAATAATGTATAAAATATTATTTTATTATATCTCAACTATTATGATGATATCTACTTATTTATATCTTAAATAGAAGTATATAATAAAATCTACGCAAGGAATGAATCTGTCTTAAGATTGTTGGTAAAATATATGCTTCATGTGACATTTAAGATTTAACAAACCTTATACTAATATGTCATGAGATAATTAACAATATGCTAAGAAATCATTAATTAAATATGCAACTCTATATTTAATTAAATATGCAAAATAAATTAATGAAATAATAATTATAAATAAAGAACTTGGATCGAGGCTAGTATTGGATACTATGTCCTTAAGACAGATTCGCCCCGCTATGGTGCTAACGGATTCAGTGGCGTCTATCTCCCAGGATACAACGGTCTACATCCACCAGTAGTAGCACTACAAACTCGTGGATACGACGAACCTTCTCCGTGTAATACTCTCTCTGACTCAAAAATGCATCTATGCTATATAAATGCTGAATTGGGTGCAATTCGAATCAAATGGTTCGGACCAATCTTAATATGGCTCGATGAAATTGGATTAGGGTCTAAGTGGTTCGGACCACTTAACCTATGGTTTGAACCCACTTGGGTTGGGTTCAAGTCTAGAGAGGGAGATAGAAGAAAATGAAATGAACGAATTGCAAATGATCCAAAGGGGGGTATTTATAGAAACAGAAATGCCTTTTCGGATTGGGTGTATCTCTTCATTATTGGACACAACCATTGCAATAGGTTGCAATGGTTCACATAGTGTCTATTCACCACTAGACACATCTATTCCAATAGGTTGTAATGGTTCACATGGTGTCTGTTCACCAATAGACACATCCATTCCAATAGGTTGCAATGTGCCTTTTCGAGTGGGTGCAACCATGGGTCATGATGGTTCGAGAAAAGGTGTAACCTTTTGAAAAACTAAAAAGTGGTTTTTTAATTTAAAAAGTGTAACCCTTTAGAAAAACTAAAATATGGTTTTTTAATTTAAAAGGTGTAACCTTTTAGAAAAACTAAAAAGTAGTTTTTTGAATTAAAAAAACCATCCAAAAAACCCACTCATTTGTAAAACCCATTTAAATAAGCCCAACCCAAAATTAGGCCCAATCCAAAATTCCAAAAAGAATAATCTGGACTTTATGATTAGGCCCAAGCCCAAGCCCAAATCCTAAACTCAGCTTATTTAAATTTCAATTTGTTTCAACATTTTTTTTCATGTGGGACAAACACTTCCCATATTTTACATTCCCATTTAGGCTTATCAAAACACCACACTTTGGAGCTAATTTCTCATTCATCCAGAAACAGATTTCAGAAAGTAAATATACCACGTTCATCTCCTTGCGAAGAGAAACGCTTGTCTAAAGATCCGTAAAAAATTATTAGCGGAATCTATTTCAAATCTCATCCAAAATTTATATTTTTAATACCCCGTTTCCAACGTATATAAAAATACAATTGCTGATTCGGTAATGTTTAACAATGTTGCAGTAAAATCACTTGTACTTGATGGGTAAAACAATTCAGGTGTTTGGATTCCCTTATCCTGTGTCTGCAGAAGAAGTTAAGGAATATTTAGAAGAATATACAGATGAAGGAACTGTATATGCTTTAGAAGTTAGGCTACCCAAGAAAGGAGGGTCAAGAGCTTATTGTCACGCCCCGCCTATGGAGGTTGTGCCACGCAGGCGACACGCAGACGCTGAGGAGGACGCTGCATGGCAACTGCATGGCAACTGCATGGCAAGTGGAGTTTCTAGAGTCTTCCGAAATAGTCTAGAGTTATGTGGAAGATTCTAGATATGTGTAGAAATGTGTAGAAGTGTGTGGAAGGTTCTAGAGTTCTCCAGAGTTGTGTGGAGTAGTATGGAGAATTCTAGAATGTTGTAGATACTAGTAGATAAGTATGGAAGTGTGAAGAAGGTGGGAGAAGATTCTAGATAATCAATCTCCACCGTTGGTTAGAATGCATCCTAGCCGTCCATTAGGGATGGGGATGCCTATAAATAGAGGTAGGACTTCATTTTGCAGGAAACAAGTCCTAGAGTGAGTCTTGAGAGCCTTGTAGAGAGCTTGAGTGCTAGCCTTGTACAAAGCATTCTTTGAAGTAATAGAAGTGTTCTTTCCTTGCCAACTTAAGTGCCTTAGTGTGTGTGAGTGTGCAAGCCAAGTGAGGAGAGGGCGAGGGCAACTACAACACTAGTAAGCGCACGAGGGGAGTGTGTTGGCTAAGGTGTGCACGGGAGTTAGGCTGACCAAGTACTTGCGAGAGTGAAAGCAACGTCTTGGTGCCGCACGGGAGCAGCTAGAGTGGTGCTGAAACTCTAAGCCCGTGACAGTTGATATCAGAGCAGGTTCGTCAAGGGAGCTTTGTTGGAGTAGACATGGCTAGCGGAGGAGACCACCAAGTCCACATCTTAGAGCAGAGCTTGGAGGAGAAGCTTGCCACACACTTGGTCTACACGGAGACCAAGTTTAATAGGCTCGAGAGAAGGATGGCGGAGCTCTACGAGCTGATTGATGGCATCGCCAACAAGGCGCAAGAGAAAGAAAGGGACTTGCATGATCGGGTAGACGACTTGCGCATGGAGATTGCCGAGTGCAAGAAGGAGTTCTCTCAGGCGCGCGAGGTCGTGGTGAAGCCAAGGAAGAAGAAGGCGCCGGAGCCCAAGGAGTACGATGGGGCAAGGAATGCGCGCCAGATTGACAACTTCTTCTGGCACATGGAGCGGTACTTCGAGTGCATGGAGATCGAGGATGATGAGGAGAAGGTGCAGACAGGCACTATGTACCTCACAGACACTGCCGCTCTATGGTGGAGGCAGCGCTTCACCGGTAGAGGCGCAAGAGCAGTTGATACATGGGAGGAGTTCAAGAGGCAGCTCAAGAGGCAGTTCTACCCTGAGTGCGTTGAGGACCTCGCCATGATCAACCTAAGGCGCCTAAAGCAGAAGGGCAGCATAAGGGAGTATGTGAAGGAATACTCCAATTTGATGCTGGAGATCCCAGAGATGCCGGAGCGGCAACGTGTGTGCTTGTTCATTGATGGGCTGCAGTCTTGGGTGGCCACGGAGCTAAGGAGGAGGGAGCCTAGAGACTTGGCATCCGCAATGGCTATAGCGGAGCGCCTCGAAGACTTTAGGCGCGATGACAAGAGGGCCACGTCTCCCAGGAGGGACCACGGCAAAGGTGGGGGAGACCGTCGCTTCAAGAAAAGGGGCTCGCCCAAGTCAAGTGATGATGAGCACAGCGATGAGGAGAGACGCCCACGCCATGATAAAGGCAAGGACCATGGAAAGAGGTCTAAGGCTAGTGGCAAAGGGGAGCGCCGCGATAAGGGCAAGTGGGAGCCGAAGTGCTACTTGTGCGAAGGGCCGCACATATTGCGACACTGCCCCAACAAGAAGACCATGAGCGCCCTTGTGAAGGATAAGGGCAAGGGCAGGGTGGACGATGCGGGCAGCGATGAAGATAGGTGCATGGGGGCTATGCAGATGCTGAGTAGCATGGCGCATGACACCAAGAAGAAGGGCAAGGCAAAGAAGGTAGCTGGGGTGCGCTATGTGGATGCGCAGGTTGGTGGCAAAGCCGTGCAAGCGTTGGTAGACACGGGTGCTACACACAACTTCATTACCCCGGAGGAGGCGCAACGACTTGGCTTGGAGATGCGCAAGACGGAGGGCTGGATCAAGGCCGTCAACTCCGAGGAGGCACGCGTGAGTAGAGTGTGCAAGGAGGTGGAGCTATGCATGCAAGGATGGAAGGGCAAGGCTGACTTCCAAGTTGCGGAGATGGACGACCACGACATGGTGCTGGGGCTGGAGTTCATGGACAGGAACAACGCCGCGCCACTACCATGCCTTGGTGCGTTGATGATACTTGGAGGCGAGGAAGGCAAGGCCGCATGTATGGTGCCGCTCGTGGGCAGGAAGGAGAGTCCAGAGGTGGCAGTCAACACGATGGAGCTCGTGAGGACTTCACATCTCCCGAAGGGCGCTCGTACGTTTGGGCCAAGGACATATGCGCAAGTGCTGATGACCTGCGAGAGGCTGGGTCAGTTGAAGAAACCGTGACGAGGGCGTCACGGAAATGGGTGGGGGAGAATGTCACGCCCCGCCTATGGAGGTTGTGCCACGCAGGCGACACGCAGACGCTGAGGAGGACGCTGCATGGCAACTGCATGGCAAGTGGAGTTTCTAGAGTCTTCCGGAATAGTCTAGAGTTATGTGGAAGATTCTAGATATGTGTAGAAATGTGTAGAAGTGTGTGGAAGGTTCTAGAGTTCTCCAGAGTTGTGTGGAGTAGTATGGAGAATTCTAGAATGTTGTAGATACTAGTAGATAAGTATGGAATTGTGAAGAAGGTGGGAGAAGATTCTAGATAATCAATCTCCACCGTTGGTTAGAATGCATCCTAGCCGTCCATTAGGGATGGGGATGCCTATAAATAGAGGTAGGACTTCATTTTGCAGGAAACAAGTCCTAGAGTGAGTCTTGAGAGCCTTGTAGAGAGCTTGAGTGCTAGCCTTGTACAAAGCATTCTTTGAAGTAATAGAAGTGTTCTTTCCTTGCCAACTTAAGTGCCTTAGTGTGTGTGAGTGTGCAAGCCAAGTGAGGAGAGGGCGAGGGCAACTACAACACTAGTAAGCGCACGAGGGGAGTGTGTTGGCTAAGGTGTGCACGGGAGTTAGGCTGACCAAGTACTTGCGAGAGTGAAAGCAACGTCTTGGTGCCGCACGGGAGCAGTTAGAGTGGTGCTGAAACTCTAAGCCCGTGACATTATGCTAAAGTTCAATTCACAACTGCGGATGCAGCTGACTATATTATATCATTGGCTACACCACATATATGGTATGGGTCTAGTTATTTGAATGCTTGGAACATGGAACGTGATATCATACCAAAGCCGAAGACCTACGTGCACAATATGAAAGGAGTTGCATTGCATTTTGGATGCCAGATCTTGAAGGACAAATTTTCGGTGTTCTGGGAGAGCAGAAACGTTTCTGTGAAAATTGGGAATGGATTTAGTAAATATTACTTTTTTCTGTCCTATTTTCCTGCAGAGTACAAGCTTGAGCTCTCTGATGAGAACATCGGTAAGAGAGAACTACGTCGTCCACATGGTCAAGCTGAATCCTTCCTTGTGTTGCAGGTTTGCTCGAATAGTTTTTTATCATCGTTGGTATTATACTAATTTTATCTGATTGCCAACTACCATAAATTTATTTCAGCATGATTTGTGCATTTCATTGATTGAATAACTTAACGGTCAGGATTATTATTAATTTAGCTTCTACAACGGGTTAACTTATTAATGGTTTATGCGTCTAGAAGCAAATTAAGAGGCATCAGAACCTTGTATCTCTGCAGTATCCTCTAAAAGAATAAAGATTCAACTTTGATATCTGCATTGTCACCGTCGGAGTACCAACATTTCGCCGCCGCTGCTCGTTACTCCAGCGAAGCCCTAGCATTGTACACGATATGTGCTGCCTTCGATTTGGGAAAGAAATGGTTGGGTTTGCTTTATAAACCATGTTCGACCCATGACACATGATTTGGATCCAAATATAAAGCAGCAAGCAACAGCCGACCCGCTATTTCCACCCAAAGCTTTGGATACAGATCAAATTATTTTTCTTGGCCCAGCCCAAATTGAATGGAGGTTACTATTTTAAACCACAACCCAACTATTTTTTTCACTTCAGCCCTGTTTGGATAAATGAACAGTGTCAGCCCAATTCCAAAACTAGTTCAGAACTGACCCAGTGCTTTACAAATCCAGTCCAGCTAGTTCAACAGTAACCACCAAAAAAAAAAAGAAAAAAAAAAAGAAGACAAAGATTGTGTGGTTAATTCAGAGTTTTCACTATTTGGGTAGCTTGATTGGACCTCAGTAAAGGTACACTACTCTCTTGAAAATTTTAACTGCTATTTTATCTGTTTGTTAGTCAATAAATTTGCAAAAAGTCCTTATTTGAACCCATCTCCATTCATGCACCCAATCATTTTGTGCATCCAATTAGTTAGTTCTCACAGTGTAGTGCCTTCACATAATTTAACTTGCATGTATTTTTGCTTCTTGTGATGCAGAATTTCAAATTTCTGCAAGTGGAATTTGCATTTTTAAGAAACTTTCCATATTTTGAAAGTTTCCTTATTTTGAGTAGTTTTTTTTATTTTCATCGGCTTTCCTTTTTGAATAGTTTTCTGATTTTCAGTAGCTTTCCTATTTTGATTTTATTTTATATTTGGTAGTTAGCTAATATAAGGCTAGAATTGGGAAAGAAGAAACTCTATATAAAATCTTATGCTAGGGTATACAGTTTAGTGAATAGATTATTATTTTTACAGCAAATAAAGTTTGCTTTGCAACTTTGCAATTCTCTTTTTTTAGCATTATTTTTTATATTTCGTTTTAATATTGTTGTCCTCTTGGTAAGGCGGCATCAGTTTGGTATCAGAACTTAGGTTTCGGCTTTCCGACTGCTCAATCATGCCTCCACGACAGCTACCGAGAGGAGGAAATCGTAGGATGCAGTTTCTGGCTGAACCCTTACCCAAGCAACACGAAAGCGAGATAGAGTTCTTGCGGAGACAAGTTGAGTTGTTGACTTAATTATTGGGTCAACGCGTTGTCAACCACCCGGTTGATGACAATGTTTCGGTGGATAAGGATGTGTCAGACACCGAGACTATTGCGAAAAAATCGTTCTATTTTTTGCGTTGCCATAGATCACTCGATGAGCGGATTGATAGTTGTTGGCCGACAAATATCAATTTTTAGATTTTTGTTTTTCATGAGGATAATCTTGAAGAGGATTTTGCTAATCCTTTTTGTAGCAATACAACACCTATTTTATTTGATGAAAGGCGTTGGGATGGTGACTTTAAGGAGGAAATTCCTGAATTTGCAGGATATATTTGAGAAGAAGAAGAACAACCATAAAAAGAAGACAAAGCTACTATAGTATCATTTTGTTGATTGGGGTAAGCTTCCAATTTTTTATAAAGAACCACATATTGAATCATATGAGTCAAAAATATCTATGGATTGGGGTGAATTGGCGATCTTTGATAAGGAAGTTACAAAAGAAGAATCTTAGAATAGAGGATACATGGTTGATGATGAAGCTTCTGGTTCCATAGGGATGAAAAATAATGAATTTCACTTTTATGACATAATTTGGTATGAATTCTTAGAGCGTACTATAATAGCTAGGCGATTGTTGGAAGAAAAATTAAAGTTGATTACACTTGTACTTCAAGATACATGTTCAACCGAGTTTTACAAACCTATCCAATTTCAAAGGACCTCTAGAAAAATCCATGTTTATTATGCGAGTGTATTTTTTTTTTCCCTAGTTGATACTCACACACACGTGTCTCTTTTGAGACTTGAACCCCTGACATCTCTTTGGGAAGTAAGAGGCCGATACCGCTAGGCCACTAACCCGTTGGTGTGAGTGTATTCTTTGTTAGTATAAGAAGATTAACGTATTTGATTCGAGTTCAGAAAAGAAGAAAGAAGGGATGGAAAGCTATGCTCGGGTTTTTTATTGATCGGGGAAAATTGCTCCAAACTTGAGGGCAAGTTTTTTCCAACACGGGGAGACTGATGCAAGCAGAATTTCAAATTTCTACAAATGGAATTTGTGTTTTTCATAAACTTTCTATATTTTAAAAGTTTCCTTATTTTGAGTAGTTTTCTTATTTTCATCAGCTTTCCTTTTTGAGTATTTTCTGATTTTTAGTAGCTTTCCTATTTTGATTTTATTTTATATCTGGTAATTAGCTAATATAATGTGATGACCCGAACCCGAGGGTTCAAACCGTTAACCGGGTCCTTACCCGAACCCAAGGTTTACTAAGGGCATTATCGTCCTTTCCTATGTCAATCTGCACCTCATCCCCAGGTCCCACAACTCTTTAAAACCACAGTCCCTCAGAAGGGTTACAAACACAAGTAAAAAGGGGAGAGTCGGCCGGCTGATAGCCTTATGTCGGTTGGCTGAAAGGAAATGTTCGGTCGGCTGACGGAGATGGTCAGCCGGCCGAAACGATGGGCCAAAAATATAAACTCTCGGGATCTCCAAAAATGGTTAGTCGGCTGACTGGAGATCTGGTGTCGACCGGCTGATGATGGGGATTCGGTCGGCCAAAGGGCTAAATCGGCAGGCCGAGACAATGCTTTCAAGGACTCTACTCTTTAGAATGACCTTGCAATGCTTTGTCGATCGGCTGACATACCTTGTTAGCCGGCCGACAGGCTTTGGAACTGCATATTCTGCAGGCAGAAAACATCAAGGACTCGGGCTCAATTTGTGAACCAAACCTACTACGCAACCTGCCCTGAATTCATGGCAAAACTTAAACAACATTCCACAATGTACACACCAATAAACTCCTCAAAACACAACATCATTTCCCTATTCAACATAAAGATATCAACCTGGTCTCAATTTACATTAAAATACTATCAAGAGGTTACAGTTACAATAGATGGCCATGCTTTACAAAACGAATACGTTTCCAAGATGAGGTTCTACAAGAGAATGGGATCCAAATACAGATATGACAAAATAATCCTCTAGTCCCTTCAAGCTTGTGGTGGATCATCGTTCGCCACCTCTTTTCTGTATCCTGAAAATGATAATATAAGGGGTGAGCCAGTCGCTCAGTAGGAGGTGCCTAAAACACACCTCTTAATGACCCTATGAATCCATACAATGAATAAAGAAAAGAAAAGCGGGGTCATGCCATTCCGGGGAAAATACAACATAACTTAACAACAACCATCCAAAGCTATAAATAAGCCATACTGTACTATGGGATGCGATGATATGCAATGTCACTCCCCATTTCCAAAACCTTTTCCATCCACCCATTTCCAACCGTTAATGTAACGACCCGAACCTGGGGGTCCGAATCGCTAACTGGGTCCTTACCTGAACCTGAGGTCGTCTAAGGCATTAAAGTCCTATCAAATGTCAATACATAAAATATACGTCATCCCAAGGCTTATAGTATATCATATCTCTAAATCACAGAAAACTCACAAATAGAGAAGATGTCAAAACAGTCCACTAACCAATTCAAACCTATGGAAGAGCGTCGTCCGCCACTTACTTCCCGTGTCCTGAAAAAAAATGTAATAATATGATGGGGTGAGCCAGCCGCTCAGTAGGAGGTGTCTAAGACACACCTCTTAATGACCCCGTGAATCCACACAAGAAATAGAGTACAAGTAAACAGGATCATGCAATGGGAGTCCGTACAACATTTATAACATAACAGATACACAGTCACATATCACAATTCTTCAAAACCATGCACATGATATGAAGTGTGATGCATCCCATCCCAAACTTGGTCTATACCGACCCAACACTCAGTTTTCGAAAACCCGCTAATTGACTTTATTGAGGCGAGATTGATAGTTATCCCCGGTTCCAAAGCCGGCAACCGTTAAAGGGCCTAGAATCAACTTTTTCACGCCCTACATCTGGCCGTGCTCCCTCTAGGTCAAGCTAGCCCCGGACTCGCGAAATTAGGTTCATTTTTTTTAAAAAAAAAGAATATTTCCCCTTTCAAAGAACAACCTTTCCAAAAGAAAACTTCATTTTCAAACCATTTTCAAAATTCCCTTTTTCTTTCCCAATAAATGCATAAATGTTTCATGCTTCCAAATGCCAACTCAACAATAAAATTTCATACATTTTATCTACATCATGCTTACATAATTGAAAGAAATTCAAAGCATTAACTTTCAAAATTACAACTTCAATTCTCATGGCAATTGTAAATATAAAGCACACCACAATTTAGTACTAAGCATGCTCCTTCATAATCTTCAGATAAATACACTTGTAACAATACATATAATCTATAAAGCACATCCATCATATTTTATACATTTAACAATACTCCCTCCGTCCCACAATAGAGGTCCATATTTAGAAATTGGGGTTTTTAAGGGGACATGCAATTAATGCATTGTCCTCTTTTAAAATTACCAAATTGTCCTTTTTAATTTAAATATATATAGTTACAAAATTTGAATTTTTTTAAAAAGGTAAAGGACAATGATGGAAATATAAAAGAAATATGTATTAGAACACCCTTACCTCAAAAAGAAAAAAAACCCTAAAATCACCTAAAAATTCAAAATCCCAAGGAGTGGCCAAACGGCACTTTGCTCCGAAAATGTCGGCCTCGACGCGCTTGCCAACTTTGCCTCAAGTGGCAACATCAAATTCCTAAAGGTTAGAGAGATATCTTGGCTTAAAGTTGGAAAAGAAAAAGAAAAAGAAAATCAACAAAGAGGGAGAGAGAGAACGCAACAGCAGAGAGAGAGAATGAGGTCTGATAATGGCTTTATGGCCATTTACAAAGTTATAATGCAATGGTGGGTCCCATTGGCCCTTTTTAAAAATATCATAATATAATTATAACTTATATATATACAATAAGTTATATATATACAGCCAAACAATTTGCAAAACAGAGGGAGAGTGTGAATTGCGTGGTTGTGTAATGGCCATAAGGCCATTACAATGGTTGTGATATCCAACGGCCCTACGGCATAAATAATTAAAAAAAATCCTTTAACATTATTACTTATATACATACTAGCCAATACACAACCACATAATTTAGCATACAACCACATTATTGTGCATTAAATAAACATGCATGAAATGCAATGGACCCGTGATGCAAACCCCGTGCTAAACAACCCCGGTAGCGGGTCCTACCTAGGACCTCCTAGCCCGAAAAATAGAAAAATGCCGAAATGACAACTAATGCATTTCCAAGAGCCCTGAACTCAAGGAAATATCCCAATAAATACTCTGACACACCCGGCACATCCCACGGTGTCCGGTAAGCAAAACGAGAAAAGACGAAAATACCCTCAGAAAATCAAAAAATTCCATAAAATGGAAAATGACGAAAATCGGAAACATTATAGTTAATGTAACCTGGCCCATGGTGTAATACCCCGTAATTTTAAAGAATGTATTTAAATTAATCTTGTGTTAGGTTAATTAATTTTATTTATTTGTGCATACTACATTATTATATTAAGTTCATTTAATTGTGCATGTAAATTAATTGTGTATGTTAAAATAGTAAATTTATTCATTTAATTATGCATGTATTATTATTAATACTTTTATTTGTTGGTTATGCTTATATTAATCAATATTAGTTAATTAAAGTATTATTTGTGTTATATAGTATTATGATGATATAATGTATTATTTTGTAATAATAATAATTATATTAGTTTAATAATAATAATAATAATAATATAATAATAATAATTATAAAAGTTTATTAATAATAATATTAGTAATAATAATAATAATAGTTATAATAATAATAATAGTATTAAACCAAAGTCATGATGAAATTAGAGATTAGGATAGGATTGCATCAATGGTTATGGTTGGAATTGAAGCCTTATGGTTGGGAGGATGGTTAGTTGATGAAAAAATAAGATATTTGTAATATTTATATTATATATTTTGTATATAAATTAACTAGCTTGCCTTAGAAGAAAATAAAGGGAGTTAGAAGCAAAGTATAAATTCTAGAGAGCTATTTTATAAGAGTGAAAGGAAAAGAGAAAGAGAAAGAAGCTTGGACCGGTGTAGGCAATTTTACCCGACTACGCGCAGACCGGCGGATTTATTTTAAATCCAAAAAGGCAAGTTATTATCTACTTTTCCCCTTTGAATTAATAAATTAATTGTTTAGCTTATTTTTATGCATAGAGCCAAGGTTAGGAGGTTAATAAATAAATAATTTTATTTTATTAAATTAATGGAATTTTAATTATATAGGATGGTATATATTTATTAAATGTCCTATGAAATTAATAATGGCTAAAAATAATTAAATAAGACTTTAGGGATTTTTCTAGAATTTTCTAGATTTTTCCGAGCATTTTCTGCAATTTCCGGCGACCTTCCGGCGAGTTTTCCGGTCGCCGGCAGTGGGGGAGACGACCGGAGTGATCCGGTGCGACGCGGCGCACCATAGGAGGGTGTACGCGCGCATCCTGGCCATTAGTGGAGTCTGATTTATCCGGTGCATCGCGGTCCATGATACCGCGGTACACCCGGATCTGTGGGCGTTGGATGGAGGGAAGATAGGGTGAGATGATCCGGTGTGACGCGCATGTAGGAAAGGTGATGCAGCCAACCAACCGGAGGACGCCACGTCAGCGGGAAGCCATCAACGCGCGCGTGGGACTCTCCAGACGCGCGTGGGAGCGCGTGGCTGATGCCAGACGCGCGTGGAGGCGCGTGGGAGAGTGGGGAAGGTTGGGCTGCGCGTGGGGAGGCTCTGGGAGGCGCGTGAGGGCGCGTGTGGGGTCCCTACAGCTGCTGGAAATTACCAGAATACCCCTAGGGCCTGTTTTGTAAATTCCAGAACCTTGAACTTGGATTTTTAGGTACTGTGTTGGTAATTACGGGTTTAACGGGCCACGAAATTATTATTTTAACACCCGTTACTTATTCTTATGACCGATTAATCTTTTCTAAGCATTTATTGGCTCGTTCTCAGTACGGATACTAATGTGGTTTATTTAACGACATTGTTAAATATAAATAGTGTTATTATCGTATTAAATGGTATCAAACATTACTGTTAAATTAAATAAGGCCATGGTTTTAGTCAGATAAATTATCCATGATATCTTATGGGATGTTTATACTGTTAATCGTATATAAACCATGATTATTATGCTGTGTGCATTGCAGGGAATAAATGGACTGTTTATTATGTCGCATTTATATTATATGGATGTGTTGCCATATAGAACCATGTGAGCTGACTAATAAGTTTAGACTCATTTATACCTTATGCATTCGTTGCGATAGACAGATGTGTGGCTGTCGGGGTATGTGGTTTAATATTATTGGCATGTGTTGCCTAATTGACATACTCGGTATATTTATTAATATTATTGGCATGTGTTGCCTAAATTGACATTCTCGGTATATTTATTAATATTGTTGGCATGTGTTGCCTAATTTATATACTCAGTATATTCATCAGTACTTTGCGAGGTGTTATCACTGTGTAGTTCGTTATAGTCTGTGTTGTCAGTACCGTGCACCATGTATAATAGCTGATTTCCCGGGTAGGGAAAGGCGACACTTGACCACCTAGTGTGAGTCTAAGTGATCACCGTCTATTCTGGTTGAGGTCATGTTATACATCGGATAGTTCCCGTAGGATGTATACATATATAGTACTCATCCGATTCATAATAATTAATTTATTTGATTCTCTGATTTGGGTCATAGTAGAGAGGACTTGCTCGTGGGGTTGACCCACCATTGTTGTTATTTCAGGATACGGTCAGTATCCGTTTCAAGGCTGAGGTTAGCAGTGTGGGACCATCATCCGAACTCATCTACTCTTACGATCCAGTGCAGGGTAGAAGTTTTATGTAATACTTCAGTTTCAGTTTTTATTTACTTTTGACGTTGAACTCTCAGGGTTATATTTAGGGATCCCTGACGTAGGATTTCCAAGTTGTAATGAAGTACCGTATTAAATAAAGGATGGATGGATGTTGTATTATTTAATGTTTCTTTCCTGTCTAAATTCTTTTATTTCCATTATTTTGTATTCCATGCTTGTATATTGCCAATTGTTTTTGATATCCCTCGTTTTTCGTGTATAAGCCTGATCAACTTATGCGTGGAAAATGTGGGGGTGTTACAGTTGGTATCAGAGCATTCCAGGTTCGAGTGTCTTAGGGATCTGTGATTACTATACTTCCGCGTTGTGTATTCTGATAATTAGAGCCTAAGTATTAGGGTTCTTTGTATTCTTTTAGTCGGTCCATTATAATGTACTGACGTTAGATTTTTTCTGAATTTAAAAGAAGGATGTCTCGGCGTAGGACAAGGAATGCGAACCGTCATCGCAGTATTTCCCCAACTCAAAATGAGAATCAGGAATTTTCTCCTCAAGTTGCTGACATCATTGCACGAGCTGTGGCAGCAGGAGTAGCATCTGCTCTACGAAACCAGCAACCTCCTCCGATAGTACCTGTTCCTGAACCAGTGGCACAGCCAATGTCATGGGACAAAGTTCGTCACTCGTTCATCCGGGGAAATCCACCAACGTTTGCGGGGTCCACAGATGTCCTGTTAGCATATCAGTGGAAACAGGAGAGCGAGCGTCATCTTCGGATGGTAATCTGTACCGAAGTGCAGAAACAGATGCTGGCTACGTTTATGCTGATAGGCAATGCATTGCAGTGGTGGGAGTCTATTACTACTGTCGATGAGAGGACCAGATTGACGTATGCTGAATTTCAGACTCGCTTTGACGACAAGTATTTTCCTATGTCAGTAAGATCAGCGATGAAGACTGAATTTCTGGATCTGCAGCAGGAAGATATGACTGTGGCTGAGTATGAACAGAAGTTCATTAATTTGTCATTATTTGCACCAGAGGAGGTCAATACGGAAGAAAAGAAGCGAGACCGCTTTGTGAAGGGGTTGATATGGCCGATTAAAGTGGTGATCTTAGGTAGTCCGGCATATACTACTTATATCCAGGTGGTTAATGCCGCCTTACAGCACTGCCAGATGAGGAGTGATTACCGGAAGTCCAAGGGAGATAAGCGGACTAACCGAGACTACCAGACAGTGGAGAAAGGAAGCAACAGTGGTGCCAAGTCCAATGATCGGGGCAGATTTCAAGGACATCAACCTTGGAAGAAAAACAAAGGAAACCTAGATGTGCAGAGGGATGGAGTCCCTAATCAGGGTAGACAAGGTGGGATACCTCAGACCGGACAGGAACAGTGGTCGGGAAGTCAACAGAGGAGGCAGGCAGGTCCTTTTACGGGACGTTGTTATCACTGTAGAGAGATTGGGCATCCGGCCAAGATGTGTCCCAAAGCTAAACAGGGACAGTATGGGCAGCCGAGACCTAATCAGCCGTTACCTCTACCGGCCCCACCGATGCCACGTGGGCAAGTTCAGAATTTTCCGGCACTTCCAGCACCACCATTTCCTCCGGGACAACCTCCACAGCAATTGCATCATGGCAGAGTTTATAACTTCATGCCACATAATGCGCAGGCTCCTCAGGCTATTGAGGGTATGTTTTCTATACATGGTCGAACTGCTCGTATACTGTTTGACACTGGTGCATCACATTCTTTTGTGTCTAGATCTTTTGTTATCTTATCTGGTATGACGACTCAGTTATGTGACCAACCTCTTAATATTTATACACCATTGGGAGTTGGCGCAATTTTACGAGAGTATAGCGGTGATATCCTTATAGATATGGGCCGGCTTCGATTTCTTGCAAATTTGTTAGTGTTAGATATGCATTCGTATGATGTTATACTTGGGATGGACTGGTTATCTCAGTACCATGCTCAGGTTAACTGTTACGAAAAGTCTATTGTATTTTCCATACCAGGACAGGAGATGTATCTTCTTGTTGTACCACAACCTGATAGAGGGCCTAGCACTTATTTATTCGTTCTTGAGGAGGACTCACAGGAAGCGACTGCGGTATCTCTTGACAGCATCCCGGTAGTACAGGAATTCCAGGATGTATTCCAGGAAATTCCAGGCTTGCCACCGAGTCGAGAGATAGACTTCGTTATTGATTTAGCTCCAGGCACTACGCCTATTGCTAAGGCGCCGTACAGAATGGCACCAGTGGAGATGCGAGAGTTGAAAGATCAAATTCAACAGTTGCTCAGCCAGGGATTTATTCGCAGGAGTACTTCACCATGGGGAGCACCAGTACTGTTTGTCAAGAAGAAGGATGGATCTCTTCGTCTTTGTATTGATTACAGAGAACTGAACAAGGTCACTGTTCGCAACAAGTACCCGTTGCCCAGAATTGATGACCTGTTTGATCAGTTGAAGGGAGCTACTTACTTCTCAAAGATCGATTTGAGGTCTGGTTATCATCAGCTACGAGTCAGAGAACAAGATGTTCCAAAGACAGCATTTCTCACGAGGTACGGATCTTATGAGTTTCGTGTTATGCCTTTCGGTTTAACGAACGCTCCAGCTGTCTTTATAGACTTGATGAATAGAGTATTCAGAGAATACTTAGATCAGTTTGTCATTGTTTTCATTGATGATATTCTGGTTTACTCTAAGTCGGAGAAGGACCATGCTAGACATTTACGCACAGTATTGCAGACACTTCGAGAACATCAGTTGTTTGCGAAGTTTGAGAAGTGTGAATTTTGGCAGAAAGAGGTCAAATTTCTAGGTCATGTAGTGTCAGAAGAAGGGTTAGCGGTAGATCCAGCCAAGGTTGCGGCCGTTATGGAGTGGGGACAGCCTACCTCACCGACAGAGATTCGCAGTTTTCTGGGATTGGCGGGGTATTATCGCAGGTTCATCCAGGGATTTTCCAAAATTGCGGGTCCACTTACTCATCTAACTAAGAAGAATGTACCATTTGTATGGGATGATTCTTGTCAGACTGCTTTTGCTGAATTAAAGAGTAAGTTAACTTCTGCACCTGTCTTAGCCACACCTCAGAGTGGAATCGAGTATTTAGTATTTACCGACGCTTCTCTGAAGGGTTTGGGTTGTGTGTTGATGCAAGAAGAGCGACCAGTTTCTTATGGGTCTAGGAAGCTTAAGCCTCATGAGCTTAATTACCCGACTCACGATTTAGAGCTCGCAGCAGTGGTTTTTGCCTTGCGTATTTGGAGACATTATCTTTTGGGGGAGACTTTTCGATTGTTTAGCGATCATAAAAGTCTACAGTATTTGTTCACACAGAGGGAACTGAATATGAGACAGCGCAGATGGTTGGAGTTCGTGAAAGACTATCACTTCTCTATTCAGTATCATCCAGGGAAAGCGAATGTTGTAGCAGACGCACTCAGCCGCCGACCCTATGTCAGCCTTTCAGCTTTGTTTACAACAGAGTGGGATGCTTTGAAAACGGTTGATGAGTTAACAGACGCTTTTATGGCATGTGTGGTAGTAACTCCTTCTATCATTCATCAGGTTATTCAAGCGCAACTCTCAGATCAACAGTGTATTGACCGGGTTTCGGAGTTAGCCTCCGGAGACGTTCCTTTTTATTCTATAGGGACTGATGGAGGATTGAGGTACAAGGGACGTTTAATTGTGCCTTCAGCTGATAATTTGAGAAATGTTGTGATGAGAGAGACACACACTTCTCAGTTCTCTGTACATCCAGGGGGAGACAAGATGTATCAGGATATGAAACGCCAGTTTTGGTGGGCCGGCATGAAAAGAGATATAGCTATCTTTGTCTCTAAATGTAGCACCTGTCAGATGATTAAGATTGATCATCAGAGACCGCCAGGATCGTTACAGCCACTTCCCATACCAGAATGGAAATGGGAAAGTATTTCCATGGACTTTATAGAGGGATTACCTACTTCACAGCAAAATCACAACTCTATTTGGGTCATTGTTGATAGATTGACCAAGTCCGCTCACTTTCTGCCTGTTCGGTCAAACTTTACGTCAGAACAGTATGCTAAGCTGTATATTGCAGAAATGGTGAAACTTCATGGTGTACCATTGTCCATCGTATCAGATAGAGATCCGAAGTTTGTATCAGGATTTTGGAGGAGCTTTCAGCAGGCTTTGGGTACAGAACTATATCTTAGCACTGCTTATCATCCTCAAACAGATGGACAGACTGAGCGAGTTAATCAGATTTTAGAAAACATGTTGCGGGCATGTGTTCTTGATTTTAAGGGCAATTGGGAGGAATATTTGCCGCTTTCAGAGTTTGCTTATAACAATAGTTATCAGAAAACTATTGGTATGGCACCATTTGAGGCTTTGTACGGCAGACCGTGTAGGTCTCCTGTCTGTTGGCTTGGAGTTGGTGAGAACAGCTTTTTGGGTCCTGAATTTATTAAGGACACGTCAGAAAAGATCGCTATCATTAGGGATCGGATGCGTACAGCTCAAAGCAGACAGAAAAGTTATGCTGACCGTCGAACTCGTGCTTTGGAGTTTAAGGTTGGTGATCAGGTTTTGCTTAAGGTTTCTCCTATGAAGGGAGTAATGCGGTTTGGGTCAAAGGGTAAGTTATCGCCTCGTTTTGTGGGTCCTTTTATGATTACAGATCGGATTGGGGCAGTAGCTTATCGTCTGGCTCTACCAGATAATCTTCATAGAGTACATAATGTTTTTCATGTATCTATGCTGCGAAAATTTCTACGGGATGAAGATCGATACCAACACATTGATGTGGGTGAGATTGAGTTGCAACCCGATGCAACCTATTTGGAACAACCTTACTCTATTCTCGATCGTAGGAATCAGATACTGCGCACGAAGACTATTCCATTAGTACGTGTACAGTGGAGTCATCATAATGCTACAGAGTCTACTTGGGAACGGGAAGATATTATCCGTGCCAAGTATCCAGAACTTTTTACTACAGGTATGTAGTGAATTTCGGGGACGAAATTCCTTTATTAGGGGGGGAGAATGTAATACCCCGTAATTTTAAAGAATGTATTTAAATTAATCTTGTGTTAGGTTAATTAATTTTATTTATTTGTGCATACTACATTATTATATTAAGTTCATTTAATTGT